CTTTTGTCACGGCTTGGTCATATGTCTTGCTGATTGCTCACAGATCCCGCCTCACCCCCCCTGTTCCAGGCGTTCAGAAAGGGGGTAGCGCCGGGCGCCGCGAAATGGGGATGCTTGGTGATAGCGAAAAAAATTAAATAGATAGAGGGCTCTCTCTCCTATTTTTTCTGCTCCGTTCTCTTTTTCACGTCTTCCTCACCATCTTATGCCTAGAACAGGCTAAGAGAGAGTTAAATCAGCGTGTTATAGCATTCGAGTCCGGTGTAATATTGTTTCATAGTAGACGAAGAAGACCAAATATATTGTTGAAAAGTAGATACGATTTAATCTTATCACATATAATCATCAAGCTATTGAAGTCTGTCTTCGGTGCCAAACACAACAAGGAAACAGAATTCCATAAAAGTAAATTCAACGAGCTCAAAGCTCATATCAGCCTTGTCATATAGAGACATGGTTTCCTCGGTGACAATTGCTTACACTGTTACTGCGTGAATATTCCCGAACAAAAAGTCCCTCCAAAAAAGTCCCCCGTTTCTCAGTTAAGATCTGACGTTTAAAGTAGTGACGGTAGTGGTCTTTGACTAGTTATATATAGTCCGAGGGAAGTGTCATGTTTTCATCCCGAACTGGCTATCTACCAAGACAGTTCCAGCTTTCAGTTGTAAACAAACAACAGCTTTACGGGCCCGTTAATTATCGGGGCTTTCGAGAAAGGGCCCCAGGGTTAACTAGGGTTCTGTTTCTCAAAAGGCCCGGAAACTTTTCAGACCCGAAGGTAAATTTTAAAATCAAAACATGTTGAGTAGTAGCTCACAAACCCGTGAATTTTGCTTCGTAAGGTGATAGTTTCGTTGTATCATTTTCAAAATTATTGAAACTTCGATCTTGAATGCAAACGCAGAAAACATAAACAGCTTTTGGAGCCCGAAAAGTTACGGGACTTTGGAGAAACGGGTCCTTGGTCCCGCGGTACAGTATCCGTCATTCTTTCCCGCCAGCATATTTTCCTCCCAGTAGCTGGCACTAACTTTCCTAGTTTTGTCAGAGACTCGTCTCAATGGGGCGGAGACATTTAGGGTCAGTCGAGTTAACGGTTAACATTTGGCATTTTGATGGCTAAAGATTAGTACCTCCTTTTCGGTTACCACACGATGTTTTCTTTTTAAAACAGTTCAAAATTAATTCCGTTCTCGTAAGACACATTTTTAAGGTCTGCAGATGTTTAAAGACATTTCCCGGCTTAGAAAAAGAAAAATTAACCACGAGAGAAGATGGGTAACATCCTAGCAAATGTTCCCGACGTACATTTTCTAGCCAACAAATTGTGGCAAGGAATCTAATATGGAAAACCTTTTTACGACAAACAGCTAAATTTTCTTTTTTCTTACGCTTAACGACTAAATCTTTTGCCCGTCAGTTGCGACTAGTTAACCCTATGGAGACCCTATTTCTTTTTTATTCCCTCATCACTGCTTTTTAAAGAGATTGTCTGGCACTTTCCTGCTTGCGTGTTTTGCCATTGATGACGGGTCGGCTTAACTTAAAATGCAAGAAGATATTGGTTTTCTCTTGCGCAGAAAGATACTGGGTTGAAAATAACCGGAAAATTAGCTTTCAAGTGTAATCGAGAGCCGTCATGGTTCTTGGTGTAATATAAGGAGAGAAAGCCAGATAAATTCCGGTTTTGATGATTGGAAAGCCTCTTTGAGCGCTCCTTTAGCATTGTGTCATAAGCTACGAATGCAGTTTTTAATAGATAATATTATGATATCACTGATAATGACGTGAGAGATCTCATAACTGTTAAGAAAGAATTATTTCGGCTTAATCTTCTTGAAATATTGGCGTTCATTCATAGCAGTTGTTTGGCAACGAAAATCTTACAAAGAGTTATTTAACAGTCTCAGAACGAAAGAAGTTATTGGAAAGAGTGTTCATCGTTTTCCTTAAAAAAAAGGCTTCTTAATGAGAACAAAAAAATTGCGTTGGATGCGGATGAAGTTTAATTTCCTGTACAAATATAGAGTTAATGATGCAGTCACGTCTGAAGATTATCGATGGCGTTTAGCCGCGATATTATCCTCTTTTTATTAAGTTTTCCTTCAGACAGGTGATTTTTGTATTTCTTTTCTTTATCCAAATAAAAACCGTGAAATTGAGGTAGGATTTTACCACTGCGTGCATATCATCACGTCGCTCTGTCGTATTACGACGTAAATAGAGCGTTTTCTTTCTGCATGAATACGAAACAAAAGAAAATCAATAGCACTGGCGCCTCTCGTTCTGATTACTGAAGCAACTCATTTTCCATGGTACCGGTCAACTCTCTTTTAACGGAAACCTCTTTAAGACGGGCACCTAGCTAAGACGGACACCCGTCGTTTAAAGTCCCTGCCTTTATGAGACAGTCACATCTCTAAGACGGACACACAGTTTTTGTCTCAAAGGTGTCCGTGTTAGACGAAGTTGACTGTTTACTGATACACGTACCCAGGGCCCCCTCCGGCCTTACTTCAAACGCGTAGGCGGCGGAAAAAAATGTATAACAAAATGGCGTGGATTTGGAAGGCTATTATCAAATTTTGCCGCCGTTGAGTTTTGTTTGACCGCTGACAGAGAAGAAATGAGGACGATAGGAAGAGAAAGAAGCAGCCGGAGGAGCGTATAATAACAGATCGAAAACATAGGACACATGGATTCCACGTAAACCTCTCTCGAAAGAGCGTCAGATTTAAACAGCTGATTAGTTTAAACGGAATCAGGAGCCCGACGAAATGCGAAGATCGTAAGAATACGATGTCCAAAAATGTTTGGGATGAACGCAATTCAAAATTACAACCCTCGGTAATTTCTGATTAATACTGAAAAGCGCACATTTTCGGCTACGACAGGTGGGAAGAATTTTCACCAATTTTCAGGTTTTGAAGCTCAGCGGGTAAGGTGTCATAATAAGTCAGCATCCCATCGGAAAATGAAGGTGTCGAAGTTCGCGGATATTTTACAACTAAGTGAAAAAGAATTTTTATCATTTCCCAAGAAGTATCGAAAAATAAGCGGGAACCATGGTGGTACGTCGCCATGATACAATAATCTACAACAGGTAGAAGTCTGATCAGCCTTTCTCCGCAACATGTCAGCAACTCACTGCATGCAACAGGACGCGGCTGTCAGGCTTCACTTTATATTTCATTCGAATCCAATGGAAGAGTAAAGACTTCTGAGTGCCATTGGAGACGCGCGATATAGCCTGCGTGACAGGCGCAAAAAGGACAGGGGGACTTGGGAAAAAGTGCCAAGGGAAAAAGGAAGTAAGATATGAATAAAAGGGGGTTCTTATAGCAGGCGTCCCTTGCCCGCGCCCTCTCTCCCCAATCCCCTCGCTTTTGCCTTCCTCCCAATCCTCTGGCTGTGCTTGTTTTTCCCGACGCACGATAATCTGAATTTAAAAAGCACCTTGGGTTGCCTGTGAACAGGCTGAGCGAAAGCTAGAAACATGGACTAGGCAGGGAGAGGAAAGAGGAGGGGCAGAGTCCCACGTCATTTACGTCGCTTGCCCTGAATTCCATTCACAGGCTACGCCTTGGACCGGATAGCAGTAATAACAAACGAAGTGCCACAGTTAAGTATCGTACAGGGGCAGTCGTTCTGAAAGGATGCGCGGGCACTAGTTTTCGCTCGGATTGTGGTTCATGATAATTCGCACGGGAAGTGTGAGAGAATAGGGGCGTGGCCGGACAGGTTCGTGCTCGCCCCAATCTCCCTCTGCTTTGAAATCAAATATGGCGACTGCACACGGGAGATATTCTACGCACGGAAGAATAAAGGCTCGATGAACCAGCCGCGGCGAAAATCGAGCTTTGCGGAAGAAGCGGGAGGGGTGGGAAAGGAAATAAGAAAAGAAACTCCCTTCCCTCTCCTCCCTTTTTAAGCACTCATCCTACTTTCCTTTCGCGTTGAGAGACTTCCCACCCACGCTAGACCGAAAAAAAAAACGCTTGCCCGCGGCCCGAAGAAAAATAGCGATAATAACACGCCTAGGCCACAGGTCACTCATTCTTGGATACTCAGTAGTGTGTCTCGTAGCTTTCAGTTGGGTTAGTCACATTTTTGGGTCTCATCCAAGTCTCAAAAGTCAGAATTACATCTCAGTAGTAGATCGTAGTAGATCTAACTATCTAACAGGGATAGTATTGCCGAAACCTAAAACCAACATTTTAGTATCTTTAATCAATCGATCAGTCATCTAAGTCGGAGGTGATAGTCGCGATCCTCGCAGATGTCTTATCAAATGGCAAAAGAGAAACCTAAGTAATAAGTAGACTGCTAGCAGACCCTTTTCAGTCGGTTAAGAACAGACTGAAGGGATTTTCGACAGAAATTAAAAGGAACTGATTTGCTGCGCGTAGCTTGCTCTTAACACTGTGCTGTATGCTCGTCTTCGTCGTGACAATTTCAATTTCATATTTGTTGTCATCCATGAAACGCCTAGAAGACTCCTAGAAAGTGGTTTCGAACTCGAAAAGGAGTCATTGTTCTAAACAATTAAATTTCTTCTTTCTTTTTCAAAAGCAAAAAGACAAGTACTGCATGTTCCTTTTCTTATCTTTTTTTTTACTGCGTTATCGAAGAGATTGAGAGTGATCAATTTCCAAGAGAAACCAGTTAGATAGCGAAATGATATTAATTGCTCCTGGGTCTCTGCGGTTCAATTTCTATTTCGTGGTTTCCAGGGAGTGGTTATACCTTTCTTTATAACTAAATGAACACCAAGTGATGATAGCGAAACAATGGTAAAGGGTTATACGAGTGAATTTCAAGCAAAAATTCCGGATCGTGGAGAAGTTAGAAAAGGGGAAGAGCCGTTCAGACACATGAGGGTCGCGTCACGCACCTCGCTCACAAGAAGCAACGCTTGAGGCACTTCGCACTAAATACACAAGGATTATAAACAAAAGAAGACTGTTTTGCTGTCTGTGTTTGCCTGGTCGAAGGTCTGGCTAGATCTTTAGTTCAAAGGCTGTCAGCACTGCTTCCTTCTTCCTTCGTCTTTCCTTGATAGTGATAAAAATAAGCCACTTCGCACTTGAGTCAAATGAAACTACTAAGCTGGGATGTGCGCTGTACCGAGTTTCCGTAGAATGTTGACCTGTTATATGTAGGCTAAGCCTATTGTTTCCTTTCTTTGAAACAAAAAGAAACCTTGAGAAAAAATAGTAACTCCTGTGTTCGCGTGCGACTTAGACCTACACAGACTAGACTAAACCAAAGGATATCCGGAAAAACAGACTGAATAAGTGTTGAAGTTAAACTGAAAAAAAGAACAACACAAGTCTCTGTTGATTTCTGTTCGAGGCGTTGGAATGGAGACTACACCTTGATTGTACTGGCACCCTACTGGATATTACCGAGTACCTAGCGCGGAAGGCAAGAGAACCAACAAAAGAACAGCCATCTGAAAACGTCCAACTAAGAGGACACATTCTTCCTTTTCAAAACTTAGGGGTCTTCATTTTGAGGTATCGGTTTCAATACTGTTACGTTTAGGACCGCAAAGTGGGTAGTTGACTTCCTTAAGTAATTTGCCAAATACAGAAATAGCAAATGTTGAATATAGCTTCCTTTTAGCAGATACGCAGATGTGTCAGTCTGCAGATATACTATGAATTTTCGAACTGGCGTGAGATTGTCGAGAGTGTAGACCGTGTAGAAGGGAAAAGTATCTCTTTTAAAAGTCACGTGACCGTTACTGATGACACCTCAGCTCCAGATGGCTATTAAACATTATAGGGTTTTGTACAGCATATCAAACAGCTCACATGTACAGAAAAGTACTGTTTAATAACTTTCACTTTTCCATTTTCGGCACGATTGATATACGAACAAGAACTATTGAAAAAACAAGACTACAGCTAAAAATAGAAGCACTGTTGATCAGAAAAGACTACGCCAAACCAACAATGTTGATTACGCGCGACCTTCACCCGCGCATGAAACTGCGTGGCAGACGCGCGAGGACCTGCGAGGAAGAGAAGAAAGCATTTTCCCTTTTCTCTAGCCTGCGTAGCAGGCGTCGAAAGGGGTAGGGGGTAGGGGATAGGGAGGAAGGGAAAAAGGGGAGGGGGATTGGGGAGAGGGGGAGGGGACGCCTGCTCTAAGAACCCGCTTTTGTTCATATCTGCGGACGCTGGCGTCCGCAAATTCCTGATTGGCTGAGCCGTAATGAGTAACATATTGAAATGCGCGTTTCACAAATCAACAAACAGTCGAGATGGCAGAGGTAGACGTGGATGTCGTAGAGAGTGCTTAAGAGATGTGAATTTATCTAGTAGTAGAGAAACTGTTTTAAAACCAGAGCAAGAATCAGCAGTAAGGGCTCCAAATGTTTGTACGCGCGAAGAACTACGAGCTAAATGGTAATGCGGCGATTCTCGTCATTTCGCCACTGAAAAGTATTATCGAAGAGTTGCAGGAGATGGAATTGTGGGGCTACCCAGCGAAAGATTTAGCCAACAATTTATCGAACGATGACATTCGCCGATGTAACTTAGCAATAAAAGAGGGTGGTTTTACCTCATGCCAAAATGCTGCTTATTACAATAAGGTTGTTTTTATCTGCTATGTTATTTTGGCCGCATGTTTCACACTGAGAGGTCATGACATACATATCGATTGACTGTAGTTATTGTTTTCTGGTCGGCAGGATTTGCCTTCTGATGCAAGCGTAATTTCTTTGACCTCTTTTGAAGCGTAAAGCTTTTTTTATTACGGCAGAATAAGGGTTCCAATTTTCTCCAAAGTGTCTTCTGGATCTGAATAACTAAGCGAATTTCTTTAGTCCGTGAGTATAATGTTTTTCTGCAATGGC